TGTGTGTGTGTGTGTGTGTGTATCCATGTGTGGGTATGTGAACTTTAAGTGCAGTGACTACAGAGGCCAGAAAAGAACGTGAAGGATCCCTTGGAACTTCAGTTAAAGGTGTGAGCCCCCTGACATGGATGCTAGGAACTGAACGTGTGTCTTCTCCAAGAGTAGTGTATGCTCACACTGCTGAACCACCTCTCCAGCACCACTGCAACAATTTTAATTGTTAATATTATCTCTTTCTATTTATTTTTCTGCTATTCCTTTTGGTTGTGTTTTGCAAAAAGTACTTGGGGTCAGGGAAATTTTACTCTTCCAACTAAAATATTTTGTTAAGTACATCCTCTCTTATCACCTTCATGGGAGATACAATAAAAAATTGGGAAGTAAGAGGCTGATGTGTAGGAGGCTTGAGAGATCAAGTGGTGGCATAGGTATGGTTTTAAGGTTATTTTGTCAAATGTTCAACGATTGCTGAGAAGCAAAGAATTTCTCAGTGTCATTCTCTAAGTCATGAACCCGGCTGAGTGGTTCTGCACACTTTCAAATCTACAAGTGAACTCTCTTTGACAACCTTAGTCACAAGTCTGTTGAATAGATGTTAACATTTTAGATACACATGATATCATGAAATCTGGGAAATTTGATTGCGAAGTCTTTTGAATTGAGACAGCTAGTTAAAGGTTCTTTTCTGGTCTTGTTAGCAGAAGCTCAACTTTAAATTTGTCTTTGTTTTCTGATATACTAACATTGGGAAAATGTGTCTTTGGTGTTGTTATTATTGGCCTAAGGTACCCCTCTCTCAGGATTGCCAAAGAGGTCATGTTATGTTTATTCAAGCATCTATTCATGATTTATAATTTCCCCTTTGGTTGTCAAAGTTCCATTTTGGAGGATGAAACCAAGATAGGTGAACCTCCCACAAATAGTTCTGTAACCCATGCCAGAGAGAGTTTTTGACCTTAGACTTTAGAGACAAATGACCCTTTGGATAAATTGTAGATAGGAAATTCTGATATGAAGCCCTTTATATATTACTAAGAAGAGTAAAATGTAACTTGTAATGGTGAAGGATTGTTTTATGTAACTGTTTTCCAAGTTACTAGTCATAATGGAGGATGGTGTGGTCTATGTGGAATGTGGAATAAGGCCTATTGGTAAGAGTCGGCTAACTTGACTCTTGGGTGTCTATGAAAATATGGTGCTTGGTCAAAAGACTAAAGACTAAAGTTCCCTTTGGTTAGAGGTATCTCTTAAAAAGAACTTTTTGGGTAGCTAAGTCTTTCTGGAGATCATTGCTTATGAATACCCAGCATTTTTTTACTCTAATTCTTATCATTCTGAAGTAGGAGAGGGTCCTGAATGCATTGGCTCATCTGCCCAGAGGGAGAACTTGAGGCTGCGTACTGTATACAGCACCTCTCGTAGAAGAATGCTTGCGTGTCCTGGTCTGGGTCTGGGAATCCTTTCCTTTCTTTCTTTTTTAATATTAATGCAGAAATGGCTAACATGGAGTCATATCACTCCAAAGGAAGCCTCAGAACTAATTCAGTACTGTATACACATTTTATAGTCGATGTCGTCATAGACCCTCACTAGAAGCTCTCTCAGGGCAGGGGCATGCCTTGTTTTCTCTTTACTGAAGCAAATGGCTCTGTTAGGGAAACCAAAACCAAAACAAAAAGCAAAAACCAAGCCCCTATGCCCTTCTGTCCTTTCTTTTCCAGGCATCTCCTGTATTTTGTTGGTTTTGTCTACTACTACTTATACTTCATTGTGAGGATCCACCTGGCCTTGACTTTCAGGCTTTGCTTCCAAATCTAGATTGTTCCTAGCACTTATAACACAGATGAAAATTTTCTCTCTTGGATTCTATTCCTTCTGAGTCTTTCTAGGATGAGCAGCTACAAGTCATCTGGGGAATTGGTGGATGGGCTGTCTTCCTCTTGAAATGAGGTCTCTTCTGTGGAACTGATAACCTGAGTAAACTTTATGGCTCTCTGGGATGGAGATAGCCCACATAGGAAGTTCTTATCTCTTGTCTCTAGGGTACCTCTTGCCAAATTAAAAAAAAAAAAACAGAAAAAGAAAAAGAAAAAAATTCTTATCACAAGATAAACACCCCTAATATAGAAAAGTCTATTCTAGACTGCTGTCCATGCCAGCAACATTTAGAAACATTATTTTTTCTGTTGTTACGTCTTTCAAAAACTACATTTGAATACTTTGGAAGGACTTCTGTTTGGGACAGTGGCAGACAAGAACGATCAAAGTCTGTGATTATTATGCCCCTGAATGTTCCAGGCCTTACAGACTGTTAAAAAGCACTGAGTGAGTTGGGGAAAGATACTTCTATTCCCAAGGAGGGAAAAAAAATCAATAAAACCCAGCAAACTTTGCAGGCAATCTTGTGAAAGGTCACTTTTAATCGTGTTGTATTTGTTGATCGATTTTACTCATGAGGCACATTGAAAACATCTGTTAGGCATCTGATTTATACACAAACATGTAGCAAAAGAGAAATCACAAACCTGCTGGATGCCTCCCCTTGTTCTTTCCTTCAGGTGCGAGCAGACAGAAGAGAAATGATGATAAACCAGTGAATACATTTACAGCGGTTGATAATGGCCCCAAACGGGAGACAGAGGAACCAGGTACCTTAAGTAACCCTTCTTAAGTACAGTCCGTAGAAGCAATGCTATTTATAATAACTGCACACAGCTTTCAAACATATGTTCTTGGTGGCAGATCTGAGACAGCAGCACAACATTACTTGGCAAGGCCAGAACTGCCCCCACACAGCAGAATGCCACACACTGTTTGCTTAAGAAACAGTGGTTCTGGTCGAAAAGGCTTGGGCAAAGGTTCTCAGAGTGTTGCTGATTCCAGCGTGGCTGCAGTCTCTGTGTCTTGGGCAGACGTTTGGGATCGAGACCTGGAGGCACTGATCTATGGCTGTGCTTTTGTTTATCAGTCACTTACTGAGGCAGATTTTTTTTTCCTCCTATAAGAAGAATTGAATTCCCTTGGAGTAAATAAGAAAATCTATCTCAGCCCTTACAGCCCACTGTTGGGTGGCATTTGTAATCACTCATTTGGGCAGGGTTGGGTGTTGGTAGCTTGGTGTAGGGAGGCCCATTTGCAAATGAACTGTGGGCTTTGGAGATGGTGTCTTACTTTCTTGTGGGTCCTGGTGCTAAATGGGAAGGAGTTATATCAGACAGTGTCTAAACTGCAACTCCTCAAAGCACGCCATGGCACCCCTGCAGCCTGGTAATTTCCCACAGCCTCTTACAGTATCTGACTCCTTCTTTGAGACACCACGTTCAGACGAACTTCACCCTTCACAGAACCTTCACTCATTTTTGAGAAGAAAAATCAGGAAAATACTTTCCTCTGAAAATCTCTCTCTCACTAAAACAAAGCTTTGCAATAAAGAGAGCTCAGATCTCATGTACAGTGTACATGAGAGGAAAACTGTGGCCTGGAAAGAGAAGGAGACTTCTCCATTAGAACCATGGAAGGTGCAAAGGGGGTTCAAGGCGCCAGTTCCCTGCATCTTCCAGACTCCAAGAGGTGTTTCTGAGGCCTAGCTGTCATTCTGCTCCTTGAGATGAGCTTGGGGCGTGAGAGCCTCAAGCGCATCCCAGAACAGTGGGGAATCGGAGCGCTGGCCCGGTGGTGTTTGGTGACAACAGTGTCACCGTCAGCAGCATGAAGCTGAAGCTGACAACGGTCATTTCTTCAGCACCGCAGCCCCCGATGAGCCCTGACTTGCGTTCCTATCTACATTCCTCCTGAAAACTTCCTTAGGGTTCCCAACACTTGCTTTTCCTGTCTATTCTCAGCATCCTTTGAGTGTCCGGTTCCTGTGCCATGAGACTTTAACTTCTTTCGCTTTCTCTGACTGCTTCCTGCTTTGTCTCAGAAACTCAACCTTGTGCGTGGTAAGTATTCAGTGAGCACTTGCAGAATGTGTGCACGGGTGAGTGAAGGTTCTCCCTCCTTCAGAGTCATTGCAATCTGAATGTCGAGAAGAAGGATACTATGTGAAGTAAACGGAGTTATAGTCGTTTTTTATTATATCGTCCTGCATTCAGTAAGCTTGTTAATTTTAAGTAAAACTATTCCCTAGCTCATTGTAACTTATTCTTCTCACAAACAGAAACTTTTTTTTCTCTAAAGCAAAGATTCTGAACTTGGCTTCAGGGGTTCTGAGAATATATTAAAATTGTTGGCAGATTTTTGATGTTTTTTTTTTTTTTTGTGTGTGTGTGTGTGTGTGCATTGGATATTATTCTGGGGAAAAGGCCCCCATTTGTGGCACATTTCACTGATTTAAGAAAGAGCAACAATAATAACAGCAGTGATTATGAACCACGAGAACAATGAGGTATCTCTGGAGTGATTTGTGTCAGGACCCCCGGGTGCCATGCGCAGTACCAATGAATGCTGTGTCCTTTGGGCTGAGTCACGGTTTTCCTGTAAGTGGGGCGGACACATGAGGTTGTAAGGAAGAGTGAGTGAAGGCGTGGCTGATGGACTCAAGGGGGATAGGATGAAGGCACTTGCTTGACTCCATCCTCCTCCTCCACCCCCACTTAAAATGGGAAAAAATGAGAGGAAAGCAGTATATGAGTAACATACTAGGTGATGCACTTGGAGAATTTGACTCACTATTAAGTTTTTCCAGATCTCAGAATGACTTTTAATGCAAAATTGTTTTAAGTGGGAATTCAGATAATTTATATGATAACAGACCACTGTCTTCTGTCACTTGAGATGCTCTATCAGCTTTCTAAATAGTCTTCATCTTCTACAAGATGAAAATTTCCGAAGATGAGAACTGTGATTCACATATCTATTGTTCTCCAAGCAACCTCCCTATAAAATTAGGTGATGGGTCAGGTGATTCTTGCTTTTCAAAAACTATGGTTTTAGAAGAGGAGACATTAGAGAGCTACCATATCTCTACATAATTTCAATTCTTCCAAGACTTCAGTCATGGCCTGTGGTTGGTAAGGAATGATGCCGATTCCATGCAGTTTTATGGTTGAGTTGCTGTTAAATAGGTTCAGATGCCCTTAAGCGCGACAGAGAGACTAAAACAAGTCCCAAACCAGGACTTTTTCAGCACACATACGGTTTGTTTAACCAACTAGAAATGACACAACTCCAGTACCATCTGTTCCACTGATACCTACTTGGTAGGGCTGCAGGTGTGCAGGGCCTTCAGATGTGGCTTCCAGGTTGCAATGGAAACAGACTTCTCATCGGCTGCATAGCTACGCCAAACGCACTACAGATGGCACACGGGGACACAGGAAAGAGCAGGAAATAGAATGAAATGAACAGGGGGAATGGTTTGGTCAGGCTTGTCTATACTATGTAACCACTCCTGGAATATACAACATAGAGCACTGTGATGTGATCCTGATAACCAAAGTGTGGCTTAAGACCCCTGTTTTGTAGATGAGACAAAGCAGGAAAGGAGGTTTGATCAAGGCTGAGAAGGTTGAGAAAGTGTCTTCAGTTGGTGGCCTCTTGGTCACAACCTCCACTGGGGATTTTTCTGACTGCTTTATGGCAGTGGTTGGAGGAGCTTATGAACCGTCCATTTGAGGAATCACCTGTACTTACTTTTCCATGCAGGGTTTGGTAAATTTATTCTTTTGCAATGAGCCTGCAAATAACTCTAAATACAGGCCAAGCATTTGCTCCAATTTCTTTAGAGAAAACCTTGTATTATGATTCATTACTTAGAGAGTTCTGTTTCATGTGGCAAATTCATCTAAATGGGTCACATCCCTACTGTATAAGCATCAGTCATTATTTTGAAACACAGTGAAGAAAAGTGATCTAATTATATTCTGTTTTCTAAGAATATCATTTAGTTGGACCAAAAAATTAAGAATTGCTATAACTACTTTGGAAAACTGTCTGGTAGTGTTATTGAAGTTGAATGTGTGAGTACATTATGATACGGACATTCATTCCCAGGTATATACAATAGGTATACTTAAATACATTCACCAAAAGGTATGCACTTCTTTTGGGCTTTTAACCTAAAGCTGGAAATGCCCGCACATCTATCAGTAGTCATGTAAATAGAAGTCTTGTAAATGGTCACATACTGCAATGTGTCTACATAGCAACAGTTCACTGTAACTATGCTTGACAATATGGATGGGCTTCCTGTGACTAATGTCGTGTACTATAAACAAGACTCAACAGAGCACTTTCCATAAAGTTGGGAAAAACACTCTATGCTGTCAGAAGGTAGCGTAGCAGCTCCCTTTGTGGGATATTGATGGAGAAAGGGTATCCGAGAAGTCACATTTTGTTTTTCTCAGTGCCGGTTACACAGGACTGCTCAGTTCTCCTAGGAAATGTACTCTTTTTCTGTCTGAACATTGTACTTCAGTGAAATATTCAGGAAGTGACATGAAAAAATTAGAAAGACATCCAGTAGAACCTGAGGGATTTTATGTTTTCCAAGGTTATTTACTTATTTATTTTACATTTTCCAAGCAGGGTTCCTTGCCTGAGCCCTTGCCCACATGGCTTGTGTTGATTCAACTGATAAATCTGTGGAAATCTGTGCTAAGTATCTTGATGGCTTATAGATAATAAAACAATTACTGCCTTATTGCCTTGACATTTAGTGTTTGGAGTTGTTGATATAAAAATTTTAGAGTGATCTAGACTAAGCAATAAGACACAGAGATATTATTATTATCAATTTCAGTTGTTGAAGATAGTCCCACCATTGCAGTACAAGCTCATCCCGAGTGTGAGGTGATCGTCCAGCCTCAGCCTCCTAAGTGCTGAGATTTCAAGCTGGAGTTACTGAAGCTGTTTCTGTTGGAGTGAGGCCCAGAGATCCTCCACTGGTGGGGAAGTAAAGATGGCTGTTTTAATGAAACTGTTTCCAGAGAGGCATGATGCATTTATGAGATTCAGACTCTGAAAGTAAGACTTTCGTACAGCTGGACACATCTGGCAGGACTATGCACCACTCAACACTAGTGGAAAAAACCCACCGCAATAATACATTAAAAAATAGGGGGCCAGATATTACCTGTTACGTGTCACATACTACTGGGGGAGAAAGAGATTCTGAAAAAATTGGAGGCTTGATTTACAATCTGACCTAACTTCTTCATCATTTTCTGTCAAATTGAGCTTAACAGCTGAGCGGCTGGGCCCCATCTTCGCTTGTAAAAATGCTGTGTCAGTGAGACAGACACCCAGAAGGGTGAAATGACTTCTGTCTGGAGCTGAGATTAGCCAATGGTCACCGTGGAGGTGGAGAGCATCAATTGTACTACTCCCCCATTTGTTTTACTGTGTCTTTAGTTTTCGGGGACCATAATATAATTATAACACTTTCTCCTTCCCTCCTTCCATACCTTCCACATATCCCTCCTCACTCTCTTTCAAATCTGTGGCCTCTTCTTTCATGAATTGTTGTTACCTGCATATATGGATAGGTAGATGTCTATATTTCCTAAATGCAGCCTGCTCAGTCTGTATAAGGTTACTTGTGTGTGTGCTTTCCACACACTCCTATATTCTTAGTAACCTCCTCTGTCCTTGAGCCCCACTAATTGCTTCTAGCAATTGAAATTCAAGTCCCCATTCATATGTCCCAGTACCTAATGTTCCTGTATTTTAAAGTCCAAATCACATAGTATAAAGTCAAATAGTTCCGTCCAGGGATCCCCGTGGATCCAAATGAACCACTTTGCATGGCATATGTGGCTGCAGAGGACAAGTTAACAAAAAGGCAAAGGAAAGCCAAACTTGCTATTTATTGGGCGATTCCGGTGGCAGCGTACGTAGGCAGGCAAACAAATCTGAACTTTAGTCCTGAGTTGAAAGTACTAAGCCCCATGGGGTTCTCTGTGTGGGGCGTGTTCAGTTTGTATTGTTTGGATCAAGACAACTATGACTCATTTGACTCTTTCTAAACATAGTCCAGAAAAATTCAGCCGACCATCCAAAGGTAGACCAACACTAGACTGAAATTTTCAAGGTGTATGTTTTAAAATATCCGTCCTGAAAGACTGCGAGTGTCAGCCAGCAATCATTTCTCCTTTCACCCGCTTTAACTCTTGTGTAATTTCTATTTTAATAATGCATATACTAAACACCACCTTGCATTATGCATGCCTATCAGCTGCTTTGCTCATGTTCAGGCTCCTGTCACCATCTCATGTTCCTTCTGGCCCATCCCATCACCGCCCTCTGCTCCTCAATAATCTCTTGTTTACTTTTATGATACACATATATTTACTGGTTTATTTATTTAAATATAGACTATGCTTGCAGTATGGCTTATTGTGCTTAACTAGATGATTTCTTGTCCTATCCCTTTTTTCTGCAAATGACATATTTTTGTTCTTCATGGCTGAACAAAAATGCTCTCTCTCTCTCTCTCTCTCTCTCTCTCTCTGTGCATATGTAACATTTTCCTTATTTATTCATCTGTTAATGGGTACTAGATTGGTTCTGTATCTTCTATTGTGAATACTGCTCCAACAAATGTGGATGTGCAAACATCTCTGTGGCATGCTGACTTGGGTTCCTTCTGATGGGTGGGTCACTGGATCATATGGTAGTTCTCCTTTTTTCTTAGGAATCCTTACTTTTAAGGGTTATGCTCCTATTTCAATTTTAGGTATTATTAACCAATTTTTGATTATGGAAGACAATAAAATAGTCCATTCACATTCCATCTTTGCTTTCTCTCATCCTGTTGACATTTTTATATCTCTATTTTTGGTTATTAGTGCTTGCATTCTTATAACCAGGTCAGTTTTGTTTTCAGTTTGCTGGTGTAGAGATGTCAGTATAATTCAATTGTGTGTGTGTGTGTGTGTGTGTGTGTGTGTGTGTGTGTGTGTGTGTGTGTGTGTGTGTTGGGCCAGGGAATATCTAGTTTGACTATCCACTAAGTGCTATGATTACTTTTTCTTTCATATTTATTTATGTATATTGCATATACATATATTACTTTTATTTTCAGTTACTACTGTCTTATTTTCATTTTGTGATTTGTTTTTATTAACTATTACAAAGTTACGGCATTCCTAATCTTTCCTGAAGAAACAGCAAAGCCTTTCAGTCAAATGCATTACAGAATGTATCAATTCCATTTCCATTTGTACCCCCATGCTCAGTTCCTGCTAACTATGCTGGTATTCCTGCCCCTCACTTGAGAAAATGCCTCCATCAGATTGCATATAGGTAAGTCTGTAGAGCATTTCCTTGATTAATAATTGCTATGGAAGGGCCCAGCCCATGGTGGATAGTGCCATGCCCATGGGCAGGCAGTACTGGGAGTTATAAGGAAGCAGACTGAGTCAAACATTAGGTAGATTAGAGAATCCTGAGTAGGTAGGGTGGGGATTATAAGAGTCAGAGGGGTCAAGGACACCACAAGAAAACAGCACACAGAATCAACTATCCTGGGCTCACAGGGGCTCATCGAGACTGAACTGACAATCAGGGAGCCTGCATGGGTCTGACCTCGGCACTCTGCATATATGAACAGTTGTGTAGCTCGGTCTACTTGGGGGACTCCTAACTGTGGGGGAAAGGGCTGTTTCTGACTCTTTTACTGGCTTTTGGGACCCTTTTCCTCATATACCGGGTTGCCTGTCCGGCCTTAATACGGGGGGAGGGGGAGGTGTCTAGTCTTACTGTAACTTAAAATGCCATATTTGGTTGACACCCATGGGAGGCCTGTCCTTTTCTTAAGAGAAAGGAGGAGGAGTGGATGGGGCTGGGAGGAGAGGAACGAGGGGAAACTACTGTCAGGATGAAAAAAGAAAGAAAGAAAGAGGGAGGGGAGAAAGACTGGAGAGAGAGAGAGAGAGAGAGAGAGAGAGAGAAAGAAGGGCTGACTGTGCCATGGGGAGAGAGCCAGTAGTTGGCATTCCTTCGTGGCCTCTGTTTTAGTTCTGGACTCCAGGTTCCAGCCCTGACTTCCCTAGACGGTGGGCTGTGATAGGGACATGTGAGCCTTTCCTCTTCAAGTTGTTTTTGGTCATGGTGTTCTATCACAGCACAAGGAAGAAAATTAGGACAGTACGTCAATTTTGGGGCTCTTGGATGATTCTAAATGTCTTTGTGTTATTCTCATACTCCACGAATGGTTTGGCTTGGTACAGAACGCTAGGTTGCAAGTCCTCTTTCTTCCCAATGAATTTATTTTCCTGTGCTCTAAGTGTTGAGTTTCTAGTGAGATATCCAATGTCATGTTAATTCTTCACCCTTCGGATATGCTCAGTTTTGAAAAGCATTTAAGATGCCTGATTTTACAAGCGTTCTGATGTCTCTCTGTGATAATCTTGGTATGAAGGTTTTAAGTTCATAGTGCAGGCATTTGGTGGAGTCTTTTATTATGGCTACTCCTGCCCCCCAGTTTTAAGAATCATAGTGTACTATTTCCCTGGTAAAACCCTCCCCTTAGTTTTCCTGTACTCTGTGTGCTCTGAGGTACCTGTGTTAGTTGGGTCTTTGGACCTCAACAAGAGGTCCTTCGATTTTCATTTTCTTTCTTTCTTGTCTTTTTATTTCATGTTCTGAGATACCGTTACAATCTTGTGTTTCCTTCTATTTTTTCTGCTTTCATGTTTTAATAGCTATCATTTGGCTTTCTTAATCTGTTTTGCTCTGTGACTGAAGCATGACACAGGGGGCTTCATCTGGGACAACTGGCCTTTTAGTACAGTGACTGGCAGCCTCCCTTTAGGATGGCTGAGTGAGGACCAAGTGATTTCACTAAACAAAGCTAAAGCTTCAATATGCAGCTTGTTTTCTTTGGGAACAGTCAGCTTTATGGCAGGATAATCTTCCAGCCCTCCTCTCACGGTTCTGTCAGTTTATATAAAAAGTTCACAAATTGTTGTTTTTGTTTTTACTCGACACGGAACAGGTTCAATTTCTCCAGATAAGCCTCTATTATGGACCTCTGATGAATTTGTTGGTGCCTACCCAGAAGCTCAGTAATGCCTACAGAGGGCACAATGCTGATTTTTTAACCCTATCCCTGATCTGCCCCAAGGCTCAGGGGACACTGAAGAAATGGGAGCAGAAAGGATGCAAGAGCCAGAAGATGGGGAGGAGGGATGTGAAGTGCTGTCTTCTGGCCATGGCATGACCATTGCATAGAACTCACAGCAGTCATTATTACATATAAGAGATTAAAGTGCTTAAAAGTTCCAGCGTGGATAGGGCAGGAAACCCTATCCCTTTTCTTCAGGTGGACGGCCATCATCCCAGCGGATGACCCAATACTCAGGTGAACATATTGACATCACCAACTGGACTCAGTGGGTTGTTAAAAAAAAAGTTGGGAGGGAGATGTGTCGGTGGGGAACAGAACATTGTATACACGTATGAAATTTTGCAAAAAATAAAATAAAATGAAGAAGTACTGGATTTGGACTCAGACAGCAAGGATTTAGTCCTAGCTCTGATGAGGCTTATCTTGATGATCACGTGATACATTGTGTTGGAAGCACTCTGCAAACTAAAAAGACACTGTGAGTCTTAGGCATTATTAATAAAAGTTGTGACATTTGGGCAGGTATTCAGAGTGTTACTGAGAGCTGATTTCGTTTCCCAGACCGCTCCACTTGAAAAGTTAATTTACATGAGTCACGCAAAAGATATTGACACAGCTAAGTTTGCTGTGAGCTTCTGGGCTTTGAAACTTTCTTTCTAAATCCTTGAGATGGCTGGTTAATTTAGTTCTTTCACCAACCAAATGACAAAGCAATTTGAGCATCTCACTTGCTGTGGTGGAAAGAGTGTGGCTCAGCCTTAACACAAACGAAATTTGCCTTTGATCTTGATGCTTTGTATATTCAGCAAACCGGCAGGTGTATGGGTAAGAAATGAAAGGATCAGCAAATGAAGCTTGTTTTCAACCTACTTTATCCTTAAAAAGTCATATATAAATTGAAAAATAGATTTCCACAATGACTAACTAAAGCCTACCCCCCTGGATTCTGTTCAGAGACTATGTAAAGGAGATGCAATGGACAAATGGATTGTATGTTATTCCCGTGCAGCATAAATAAATCAATTTCATTGAAATGAGGGGGCAGCTACTTTCTAAATGATCAAATTCAATTTTCGACTCCTGAAACAAAGCATAGATTTTAAGGTATTCTTAAACATTTTAAGTCACGTAGTTTGTGCTCTTTTTTGTCACAAACAATTTAGAGTTTTAAGTAAAATTCATGATTTCACTCTATTATTACTTTCATTTTACAAGTTTACCTGCTAACCACAATATTTGTTACATAATCAACTTGCACAAAATGGAGCTCAAGGCCTCTGAGCTAAGCTGTTCAGTTGACATTTGCACATATTATGGGTTGTCTTGCTTTGGAGAAAGACATATACTCCTCTTCTCTAATGATTTGTTGCATGAAAAACAATTTGTTTTGAGGTTCAGTTGGAAACTGTTCCTCATGATTCAGTAGTTGATAAGGACACAGCAAATGGGAAAAGTCTCTGCCGTGATTCTTGGAGGTATGTCCAATCCAGCATGGCAGCCGACAGCCACTTAAAAGAGCTGAACCTTCGATAAGTGTCTAGAAATCAGTTTTTACTCTTTAATTCACTTAGCTTTAAATAGCAACATGGAGCTAGTGGTTACTGCATCGGCAGCACAGCCCTGCATTGTTACAGTTGATGTGCACAGGAGACTTCTGCAAGGGTTTGCCTCTCAACAGAACAGCTCACTTCTAGGAGGTTTAATATCTGGAAGATGGTTTATTGGTTCTATACATAAATAGGGCTTGTTGCCCAGTGGAATTCTGGGAGCCCCTTGAACAAATTGTGCACTCACAAGTTGGAGAATTGTTCTATAGTGAAGGAAAATTGAAGGTAAAGATAGTAAAGAGAGAAAAAAAAAACCTATAGAAATCTGAAAGCATGTACATCAGTGAAGAGTGCTCACAGATGAAAAGTGGTGAGTATTCTGTGTGCCTATAGGGCACACTTCTATCATTATGGGATTACTGTTGGGTTTCAGACTTTTTAATACTGGAGATTCAACCAAGGGACTCATACATACCAGGGAAACACTCATCATTAAACTACATTCCCAGCCCCTGGCCACTGAGCTTAAGCTCCTATTAATTTAGGGACCTTTTCTACAAGAAAGTAATTTTACTGTTTTCATTTGTAATCTTTTAAAGACAGTTTTAATCATTTATTTTTATGTGTATGGGTGCTTTGCCCGAATGTGTGCCTGCACATCATGTGGGTGTCTGGTGCCTTCAGAGGCCAGAGGAGGGTGTCAGGTTATTAAGACTTTAGTTACAGGTAGACATGAGCCATCATGGGGGTGCTGGGAAACAAGCCAGGGTTTTCTGGGAGAGCAACAGTGCTCTTCCCTGCCGAGCCATCTCTCCAGTCCTCATTTATTTATCTTTTGAAGTGGTGGAAAAACAGTGACTGTCAGTGATTTGCCTTGAAATTCATGCCCGATGGTCCATTTCTTGCAAACAGTTGTAAAATAGTATTGTGTTTAAAACTAATGCCCTATTTAATCAGTAGATACAGATTTCCTTCAGGATATAACTAAGTCACACCCCTCCCTTCCTAGCTCCATTTCTGTTGGAAGTAAGGCATGCCACAGACATAGGCAAAGGCTAATGGGATGGTTCACAATTGTTACAACCGAGTAGTTCAGCTACTCAAAGCTGCAATCTAAATTAAAGCAATGTACTTGCTACATCTGCATGTAAACAGTTCTCCTAGTGCCTCCTATATGCATGCCAGCATCTTCAGGTTTAAAGCTTGGGGCTTCAGCTGCTTCTAAGGAAAGGAGATAACTTGGGATTGTAGGGCTATTGTGTTTGTTGTAAAATGCTAACTTCATATCATTGATCTAGCAAAAAATATCTTGTGATTCTCAACTTGGTTCTATTCCCAAAAGACATGGGAGACAGCCATACTCTCTACTACACCACTAAAACAATAGCAAAACCAAAACAAACTAACAAAAAAAATAGATGGCAAAAAAAGATAAATAGTTTAGGAAAATGTTGACACAAATCCTGGGCTATTGAAAAGAAAATGAAATGCTAGCACGAAACCAGTGTATTATGAACTAGCTTCCAACAATATGCTTATTATTTAATACACTCTAATCTCTAATGCACTTCAGGCCATCTCCCTACAAGACATTAAAAGTAATTCCACAGACATGAAACCTCAGCATTCTAAATATGTCTGTTTTTCCCAGCAGAAGCATCTAACAGGCTAGACAAAGTCATGGGAATGTCAGGAATGATGCTGCATTCTGTTCCATCACTTAATGACCAATTAAGTTTCACACAGTGATTCATAAAATATATTAGGTCCTTCCAGGAGTGACATGACCGCTAACCTCTGCACAGTGTTGGTGGTAATGGTTAATTAATCTGAACAACACATAGCTATTTTCTGAAAAACATACTTTGTTGTTGTTGTTTGGGAAAGGGACAACACCTACTCAAATTCTAGGCTGTTCATTAAGGTTTGACTTCATTTTTTTTTTTTTTTTTAAGACAGATCAGTAGCTCTAGGAAGCAATGAAGCATGGTAACTAGAAAATGACCCAACAAGAACTTCTGGAGACAGATGTTGCCATCTACCTATCACACTGACATTTACCTGAATGAGGTTGGCAGCTGGGTTCCTTCTTTTCTCAAAATGTTTCTGGCGGTGCTGTTCCTGTACTTTTAATGCAAAACCTGAGCCAAGAATGCCCTGGAACAAAATACAAAAAAATAAAAAATAAAAAAATATAACATTTTAAAGATCTTTCAAATGAATCTATAAAAAAGACAAACACTATGTAATGTGTTGACAATACATACACACATTATTTATACAAAGCAGTATTAGCTCTGCTACAACAGTGCCAGGTAGTAGCAAGCTGTTGGGTAATACTACCCAAAAAGCATGACTGTTGTTCTGTAGTAAATCAACTGGACATTATCAATAATTGATTTCTGGTATCATAAGAAGCATCACACCTAGAAAAATGATCATTAAATTCAAGCAAGTGGTTTTAAGTGATAGAATTTAGTAGCATAAACTCTACTTTGGACTGGACTGGGGTTTAAGTTTGGGAGCTTTAGTCTGGCTTCTGTAGACACAAGGCTACTTTTAGCACTGATGAGACACTGGGGATTGTACATTCATCATACTCCAAATTGGGAAAAATGGAGGTGAGGTTCACAATGATCCCAGTGGTAGCCCTTGAAGATGGGCTCTCCTCGGTTTTGGAGCTGGAGGTTTTGCTTGTCTGTATGTCAGAAACAGGAGCATGATAGCTTGACAAGTCTACTCATGTTTTCCTCAGTTTTAATCTGGTACTTTCAGCATGTCTTGCATTTTCATTTGTTTGTTTGTTTGTTTGTTTTGATTTGATTTGGTTTTGGCTCACCTGTTTGGAATTTGGGGTTAGTGAGATTACTATACCATTAAATTATGTATATGTGCATTTGTGTGTGCAGGTAAGAGGATTTCAGAAGATGGAGTCAGTTCTCCTGGACCTGAAGATAAGAGTGGTTGCAAGCTGCTTACTGTGGGTGCTGGGGAATGGAATCCAGCCTTCTACAAGAATAGTATGTACTCTTAACCATCTCTAGATCCGGCTGTCTTGTCGTTGCTAGTTTGATTTCCTATTGCTTATTATCTTTTTTTTTTTAATATTTTTGTTTTTCAAGACAGGGTTTCTCTGTGTAGTCCTGGAACTAGCTCTGTAGACTAAGCTGGCCTCAAACTCACAGAGACCCTCCTGCCTCTATCTCCTGAGTGCTTGGATTAAGGCATGCACCACCACCACCTGGCTTCATGCTTATCATCTTGAACTGTGAAAATTCTAGTTCTTTGATGTTTGCCTCTCTTTTCAGTTCATTTAGGTCCGACATTTGTGAAATCATGATGCCTTTTGTCTCAACCTTGGGTTCATATTCAGAGATTGCTAAATTCTTCAGTCTTGTGTTCTTGACTTCACTAGTATGACACTGGGGGCTCCACTGCTTTCCAGTCTGTGGGTTTTATTTGCTAGCTCTAAATTATGAGCCCTTTATTAAGCTTCAGGGAGTCTAACCCTTAGGTTAGAGATGGGTATCTTAAGCACCAAGTCAGTATCTTCTGCAGGTAAGAAACGCCCAGTGCCACCCTTCAAAGGTGATACCTCCTGGAAAATGGTATTTGTTTATCTCTAGACGGTATTAAGTCTTGGCCACGTGACAACTCTGCTGAGATATTTTGGGGCTCTAGATAACCTTTGACCTTTTCCTCTTATCTTGAGACTTCACAATTCTAAGCACATCGGTGACAATAACCAGACAATAAGTAATGCAATCATGTTTAGAATACAGAATTGTAAAATAATACTATTTGCTACTAGTATGCAGAGCCCTCCTCTATTATTAATTAAGATAAATGACTGTGCCCTGAAACGAGCAATTAAATCATGGGTTCTGTTTTCTCTCTGCCTTCAGTGCAGGTCTTGTACTGTCTAATGTCTCCATCTCATACAGCTGTGATTACACAAGCTAAGCTTTGTAGAAAGCTGCTTTGTATGGTTGGTTTATAGATTTAAATAATATTTCTTGCACTTGCTATCACAAATGCTCTCCTCTTCCAAATACTTTTTTGTTGTCGTTCTTAAATGAGGATATGTGGGAAAAACTGACTGATTTTTCTTTTAACTTCATTTCCCATTAAGTATAAACACACAGGAGAGAACACAAAATATCTTTATAATATGTAATATATATAGTCAATATTTGTGTATTACTTGCTCTGAACATAATTCAGATTTTTATAGACATTGGGTTAACAGTAATAGCTATCATTTTTGAGTACAATATATGGATAAAGGGGTTGAGAGTCACATCACTTTTGAAAATGAACACAGGTCCTACATAGTACAATTTAATATCTACAAAGCAAACTAAGATATACTGAAAATCACTTGGCATTGCTTGGAAACATATTTTCGTAGATGGCAGCTGTTTACTACACGTCTCTTGTGCCAGACTGTACATTATAGCAGTTATTAAGCCTGGTCTGCTCCCTGTCTTGTTATGTCTCTATTCCAACTTTTCTCTACCTCTATTCACATAAAGGCCAGTGTCTCTAAGCAGAAGTCTGTTAGGATTTATGCACACAGACGCACCCTGGCTTCATCTTTCAATATGCACACCATCTCTTGAAATGCTGACAATAGGTACAAAACATTTTTTAATAAAATTTATTTATTCTGTGCTTTTTCCATCATGTGTCTTGATCTCATTCATTCTCTGTCCCTTTGTAGATGCAAAAATCTTACAAATTGCTTTTCATTAACTTTCTAGATTAACAGGAATTAAAATTTTAGGTTTTAATATTGATTAAATATTTTATATTGATTAATTCAATCAATTAATATTTGATTCCAGGCCAATAAATGCTACATAAATACCAAGTGGGAAAACATCTTGACAAAAATTTGAAATGTTTACTCCTCCTTATCATTCAATTTCAAGAAGCCCAATTTGCCCCCTCAACATGGGAACCAAGCAATATTGACTTTTAACATGTGTTTATATTTTGCTATCTATTTTTGTTTATATTTATTAACATTTATAATATATTAAAATATATTACAATATATTTTTAATATTTGTAATATATTAACAAATATTGAAAAATACTTGTTAATATTTTTAATGCTTGAAGATAGTAGCAAATGTGTATTTGTGGAATAATTAACATTTCAAGTCAAATAGAACTAGTTGTTACATTGAACTTAAACTAGCTGGATATCTGAAGGAGCTGATTCTTGATAAAGGCCAATTTCTTCATAATAAATGCCACTTATAGCTAGGGTATCCATTCAGGAGGAGCGAGCCGGACCGGCTTGTAACAAGGCTGCTGTGAAGCAGTCAGTTTGGTCTGCAGTGGTTTAGGAGCCTAGGACTGGAGGGAGCTGGAGAGTTGGGCTAGAGTGGAGCTTGGGGTAAGTGGCCTGTTGATCCTGTGAGGTGCAACAGAGTCCTTCTGCTGTCAAGGTCAGATAGGAAACCATGGTCCGTTTCCTGGGTTGTGGAATCCCCAAAGAAGAAAGGCTCACAATCCTCTTCAACCTTTCCTTGGTGGTTTGAATAAGAACGGCCCCCATAGGCTCTTATATTTGAATGCTTAGTCGTCAGGGAGTGGCACTACTCAGAAGGGTTAAGGGGTGTGGCTTTGTTGGAGGAAATGTGTCACTGGGGGTGGGCGTTGAGGTTTAAGAAGCCCATGCCAGGCCCAGACTCTTTTTTTCTGCTTGTGGATCAGGATGTCATTCTTAGCTACTGTTCCTGGGCTACAATGAGCACCATGCTCCCCGCCACAGGGATAGTGGACTGACCTTTTGAAACTATAAGCAAGTCCCCGATTAAATGCTTTCCTTTGTAAGAGTTGCCTTGGTCATGGTGTCTCTTCACAGCAACAGAACAGATCAGTGACTAAGACAGAAGTCAGTACCAGGATAGTGAATATGGCTGCGTTAGACCTGACCATGTTCTTCTGGGGAGCATTGTGAAAGGACTTGGAAACTCTGGCCTAGAAAATCCATCGAATACTAAGGGATCAATAAGCTTTTCTGTAGGAGTTTGGAAGATAAGAATATTGAGAACAGGTAAGGTGACCTGCTGACGTCCCATGCAACCCAAGTCAGAAGCTCATTTTTTAATAAAAGGGGGACCTGTAGGGCCCTGGCCCCCATTTTGGGTAACTGTTGCCTTGCTTGCGGACCTTGACCTTGATATCCTCCCTATGCTAATTCCCTGCCAAGTTCCACCCTCCTGAATGCTTAAGGGAAGTTCCTTGTCTGTGTATCCTGCATATTGGGTGTTAACAGCTTAGATGCAAGATTGTAAAATATCAGTAGTGAACTTCTGGCCTCCGGGGTTCTCCCATTGTGCTGTAAGCCTGTATTTAAGACCTCCTCCCTCCTTCAATAAATGACATTTGGCATTTAATATATATATAAATAATTGGAAAAAAAAGAATATTGAGAACAATGCAGATGATGGAGGCCTGGCTTATGAAGTTTCAGAGGGACGCAAAGACTCTACTGGGATTTTTTTCTGTGAAGAATCTGTGGTGTCTGGTTAGCTGGAGCTGAAGAATGAGCTGTGATTCACAAGAGGCCAGAACCACTAAAGTAAAACCTTTGCTTTGCTGGGACAGTGAATGCTGGTCAACTAGGGCTGAGAAATTAGCTGTGATTAAGAAAAGACCAGCATCCTTGAGGTGAAATCTTCTGGGAAGTGTTTCCTCTGAGTCAACACATGGAAGCTGTGTTCCAGAGGCAGCCAAGGTTGTATCTCATCTTGGCAGCCGAATTTGGTAGTGTAAGAGTCACCCAGGGGGTCCTGGTTTTGAAGGCATGAAGAGAGAAGACATAGAGAGCAGCTGAAGCTTGGCCCTGTGTAACAGGGATGGAATCCCCAAAGAGAGCCCAGGAGAGGCTACTGGTGAACGTGCAGCCCAGTTGTACCAAGGAACCCTGTGGGCTATATCACCAAGAACAGCAGCAGCAGTGGAGTGGAGCCAGCTAGAGCTTAGAAGACAAGCTGTATGTGCTGCAGAGGGCAGAGCTGGAGAAGTGACCCAAGCCCTTTGGAGGAGCCCAGATGACCGTGAATGAATCCCAGACATTGGCTATTGAGTTATTTACACAGTTACAGTTTGGTTTTGCTGTGTTCAGATTGTGACTATGCCCTGGTTCTTCCCTCTGGAAGTAAGAAAGCATTTAGTTTATTTTTGATTTTACAGTAGCCTACAGTTGAGAGACTTTGGGTTTTAAAAGAAGAGACTGTAGTTTTAAAATGTTTGAATTTGTAAGACTGTGGAACCTTTTAATTTGGAAAATATTTTATATTGTGTGATCAGTATTAATGTGTAATCTTGGGGATGAACAAGAAAGGGAAGGTTGTGGCTTAACAGTGATTTGTTTGTGTGCCAAGTTGACAAAGGGTCAATTGTGCTAAATAATTTTGTCAACTTAACACAAGCCAGAGTCACCTGAGAGGAGAGAACCTCAGTTACTTATGTTTCCATAAGATGGGGTTATAGAGAAGCCTGTAGGGCATTTTCTTAATTAGTGATTGCTGAGGAGTTCCCTGCCCATTATGTGTGGTGCTATCCTTGGGCTGGTAGTCCTGGGTTCTCTAAGAAAGTAGAGTTAGCAAGCATTGCCTTGCAGTGACCAAGGCAGTAAGCAGTATACCTCTGAAGCCTCTTCGTGAACTCCTGCCTCCAGGCTCCTGTCCTCACCGCTTTTGATAATGATCTGTTACCTAGACGTGTGGGTGAAATAAACCCTTTCTTTCCCAACTTGCTTTTGGTCATGGTGTTTCATCAGAGCCATAGTCACGCTAACTAAGACACTTTCCCGGCAAAATGCTGATGCATTCTCAGAATTTCAATCAGGCTGCACTGTTGGCTAGCAGGTAGGTACAGAGGACAAAACGACAACTCAGCACCTATGGTGAGAGCACAGTAAAAGGTGTCACAGTAGATGTTTCTTGGCGCTGTTAGGAAATGTTCTGTTTAATGCAAGCACATTTTACAGATTTCTAATATAGATTAGCTTAATTTGTACATTAAAATGGCAATCAGTTTATTGGGAACATTTCCATGAATGACTACTTAGCCTCTGACCCATAACCTTACACAACAACATAGTTTAACCTCCCTGGAATGGTTCAGAGTTTCCTTCTAGGATCTTTGCATTTCACTGTGGAGGATTCAGAGGGGGCCTGACTCTAACTCTAACTGGCCTCCAGTCTTCCCACACTTTGAACACTTATCTCTGCTTGCTTATTGTAGATTTGCATTTCCTGCCCTGGCCGTTAGTCTTCCAACATCTGTTCCGATGCAGTATATGTTTTGCTGGCCTCTATTGTCTATTTTAACGGTCCATTTATCTCTGTGACCTCAGGGTAAATATAAACATAAAACAGCAGGTATTTTGTGCCATTACTTTTGGGGAAGAAGCCCAAGACTACTTTTCAATCTTTCCAAAAAGATTTTCCTGCAGAGAGTCTGATTATTGATTCTTTCTCTGGTCTTTTCTGGATTGTTGGGGCAGCCATACAAGCTGACTTTGGGCTGGCAATGGGGACTCTGTACAGTAGGCTCGAGTCAGTTCCAAGACAGCCTGGGCCACACAGAGAAACCCTGTCTCAAAAAGCAAAACAAAACAAACAACAACAAAAAGAGTTTACTTTGGATATGGGAAATTCTGCCCCATCTGTCTTATATTACCCTTTTGCATCAGGAAACTTTTTGTTGTTGTTTTCAAGACAGGGTTTCTCTATGTAGCCCTGGCTGTCCGGGAACTCTCTGTAGACCAGGCTGGCCTTGAACTCAGAGATTTGCCTGCCTTTGCCTCCCAAGTGCTAGGATTAAAGGTGTGCACCAGCACATATTTTTATAGTCTTACAAATGAAGGAGAGTGTTTTGGTTTTCTTCATAGTAATCACTTGATTTACATTATTACATTATTCCATCCATTACTTATCTGGACTCAATAATTCTTCCTCCATTAATTCAATGAAGAAACATACTAAAAAAATCATTGAGCTACATTGTGTCTCCCCAAATTCATATGTTGCCTGTACTTCAGAATGTGGCTTATCTGGAGATAGCAAGGGTCCTCACCAGAGGTATTCAGGTTAGGATGAGGTCATTAGGATGGGCCCTAAGCATACAAATGAGTCCTTGTAAGATAAAGGAATTTAGATATAAATGTTGTAAAGACACATGAAAGGGATAGCCCTCTCTGCCTCAAGTGTGGAGGCTTGGAACAATACTCTCCCTCTCAGGGCTCTCAGAAGGGCCCCACCCGGCTAATGTCTGGATCTGGATCTGCATCTCTAGTTTTCAAGAACTGTGAGAGTAATTTCTATCTATTGTTGAGGACCCCCAGTCTTCGGTACCCTGCCACAGCATTCCTAGCACACTAATATAGTTAGTTACACAGTAAGTGACAAATGTAACTCAAACTGAGGTGCAACATCCAAGTCTGTGCGTAGTCTGGGCAGTCTCTTTGCCTTGGTTTTGAGTGGTATAGGCCTGAACCAGCTGGCTAGTCGAGAGCTGGACAGGATTGCCCTCTGAGGTCATTTACAGTCAAAGAATAAGCACTGGGAGCTGAAGTCAGGGGTACTGAAAATCCCCATCTGACCTCCATGTGCTCAGCTTTCTCCGGCCTGGGATCTCAGGTTTCAGTCCGATAGGCATTGCACATGCCACGGCCTGCTGCTTGGAATAAGGATGGGACTGTTTTCCTGAGGCGCCCCTGCTGAGGCTGGACTCTCGCTCCTTACTGTTGACTGCCTGATGCCCAGCCTAGATGGAGGGGACAAAAGTGATGTCCGCAGGGGAAGAGGTACATTGTGATGTCATGTCCAACTGCCTTTAAAAAAACAACAGGCTAGAACGACCAGAAAGTCCAGCTTCGTCCATTGAAGAAAAACTAATCAGAAGCTTGGAGGGAGATAAATGTGTTTTTCATTCTGACTAAACGCAGAAACTGCTCATTAAGAAAAATAAAATCAATGCTGTGTGACACAGGAATAAATCATCTGACACATTTACAACACTTAAGGTCAGATGCTTTTCATTCAAGTGTTTGGGAAAAGGAATGAACTCCTGTACACATCTGTCTTTTCCTTTGTGTACATTATAAACCAAATTGCAGTAATTAGTTTAAATGAAGCTATCTTTAAATCTTTCTAAACATTTAAATTGTATTAGTGGCATGTTGGCTGAAATAATCTGAATTACATGTTTATACAGATCTAGCTGGTATGAAAAAGACTCAGGTCCATATTCTGTCCATCATCTACCTGGATGCATTTAGAAAAGTCAACATTTTGATTAGAACAACAGTATCAGTCAATGAGATAGACCATTGACTCAGAACACTGATGTGTGGAGGCTCCCTCCAGTAAGCCTTAAGGACCCAATTGAAGCTGCTTTCTTGTTGCAAAGATACTCACAGCAGGAAGGGCAAAGAAAGAAATGCCAAGGAGTGCGAAGCCTGCAGAGAGCAATCTTCCCAGCCAAGTTAGGGGCGTTTTGTCTCCATAGCCAATGGTTGTCAGTGTGATCTAGAAACAAAGTCAATAGAACATCCAGCTTAAGTCTTTGAGAAGGAAGTTATGACCTAGGAACAGGAGGCAAAACAGCATTTCCACTAAATCATCACTCAACAAGAAGTCTTGTTGGCACATTCTATTACTGTGCTCTAATTTTCCATGACGCATAACAGAACTTCTCTCTGCTCAAGGGAAGGAATAACCGGCATATTTGGTCCTCCCTTGTAATACAGTCTCCCAAATTATCTATGTGTACTCAAAGGAAAGTTAATTTGGGTAAGATCATCATGACTAACATGGAAGAGAGAACTCTGTGGATTTATGAGTTAGTATCCCAAACAATGATTTATTCTAATTAAGACTGTTCATTACTGGCATTTTCTTAAAGCCATAATTCATATATTCAAGATATGTTTTATGATTTGTAGTGGAACAAAAGCAAAAAGTATATTATATAGTTCTTGTCCTGAGACAATTATGACATAGTAAGGGAGCCATGACCTATGCAAACAACTGAAATAAGAAATGTACAGGAATTCGAATCGGGGGCAAGTGACCCACTGAGTGGTCGGAAGGAATAGCTTGATGGGTCCAGCATGGATGATGAGAAGGCTTACCTGGGGATTGCTACCATATCGAAGGCTTTGAAGGATGTAACCATCCTTCTGACTAACAGGCAGAAGTGATAAAGGGGATCTCCAGGGAAGGGAATCACACAGTGAAGAGAAACACAGTAGGCTTTGGAAAGTGTAAGCTGTTCAGCTGCACTGAAGGGTGATGGGTTAGAAAAGGAGCAGTGGCTTCTTGCTGTCAGCTCATTAATATCTAGATTTTTCAGTGTATACACATGTATCCCTAAGCTTTTGTTAAACGCATCTTTAGCAGGTATTGTAAATGACACTGTCTTAGCTTCTTACTCTCTCCCTTCCTTTCTCTCATTCTGCTTTTCTCTTTCTTTCTTCCTTCTCTCTCTCTCTCTGTTTCTTCTCTCTTTCTTCCCTTCCCTTCCCTTTTCCTCCCTCCCCCTCCCCCCCTCTCTTTTCTGAGACAGTGTCTTTCTATGTAGCTCTGTCTGTCCTGGAACTCACTATGTAGACCAGACTGGCCTCAAAGTTACAGAGATCTGCCTGTTTCTGCCTCCTAGGATTAAAAGGGTATCCCAGCCTGAATTAGTTTATTCGTTCTAACAAGTTTATGTGTGTGGGTGTGCGTACAGGTGTGTGTGTGTGTGTGTGTGTGTGTGTGCCTGAGCATATATGGGTGTGTGGGTATGTGTGTATGACCTGTAGTTTTTCAGTCACAAGATTGTGTTATCAATAAACAGTATGTCTGATCTGACTGCCTTTTATTTCTTTCTCTACCTCATTCCCCTGAAAGGACTTCCCATTCTCTCTCTCTCTCTCTCTCTCTATAAGTTTCTCTCTCTCTCTCTCTCTCTCTCTCTCTCTTTCTCTCTCTCTCTCTCTTAAATAAGTTTTAAAAATATTTATTTTTAAATGTGTGTGGGCAGACGGGTGGGTGGGGTGTGTGTGCAAGTAGAGGTCAGAGGACAACTTGCTGAAGTTGGTTTTCTCCTTCTACCACGTGGGTCCCCAGAGTCAAACTCACATGGTCCTGCCTGGCGGCAAGTTCTTTTACATGCTGAACCATCTCATTGGCCTCCAGTGCACTACTATTTTTTTTAAATAATAAAAAAGAATTTTAGTTTAACTAGGTGTGTATTCATGTGCTTCGGTATAAGCTAGTGAGTGCAGTACCAACAGAAGCCAGAGGCTGTGGCTCCCTTCCAGGCTGGAGTCATGAGTGGTTGGGAGTCACCTGTTGTGGGTGCTAGAAACTGAATTTGGGTCCTCTGGAAGAGCGGTACATTCTCTTAGTCACTGAACCATCACTCCAGTAATTTTTCTGCATATAATATGGTAATCTGAAATAAGCCGGGCATGAAAAGATACTTCTTTTTCCTTTATAAAATTCTTTTATTTTTGAGATTATAATACAATCATGTCACTTCCCCTTCACTTTTCTCCCTCCAGACTTCCCATGAACCTTCCTTGCTCTCTTTTGAATTCATAACCTATTTTTCATTAGTTGTTGCCACACACACACACACACACACACACACACACACACACACACACACACACTTCTATGTATATAAGTACAATCTGCTCGGTCTGTATGAAGTTACTTGTATGTGTATTTCTAGGGCTGACTCGTTGGTACTGGATAACTAGTTGGGGTGCTCTTCCCTGGGGGAGACCATTTCTCCCGTTTTCAGCATTCCTTAGTCAACTGTAGTTCTTTCTGTAGGGTGGAGGCCTCCTGGGCTTTCTCCTACCACTTCGGCCTGTCTTTTTACATACGCCGTCCTTGTTCATCTCACGCTTGGGCAGTTGTGTTGGTAAGACGTTATGGATGTAGCTTCTGGCTTTCCTAGCTTACACGGTCTCACACAAATTCCTTGGACCTCTGGCTCTTACAATCTTTCCATGTCCTCCTCTGCAATGCTCCCTGTGAAACCCCTGGTATATTCCTTCCCATGGTAATCAGGGACCCCATTATCCATCCAGTTGCTCACATCAGAAGCCTTAGGCTCATCCCAATTATTCCTCTTTATTTCTCCCTTCACTGGACCTATGAGCAAATCCTGTTGATTCTATGTACAACACTACAAAATCATCCCAATCTTCTGTCATCACTGGAACCTTGGCAGGCCAGGTTGCTATACTAGTTTCTATCTTCTCTGTTGGCTTTTATTTCTCTTTTCCTAATTCTTTCACCGTATGCCTAAAATGGATGACATTTTCTCACTCCTCTCTAATAAAATATTTCAATGGTTGTCTATCTCAGTTTGGAAAAGGTCCTGTCTCCTGACCATGGTTACATGATCTTGTCTCTGCAGAGGTCATACTAATTTCAAATTTGCTTGGTATATTTTAATCATGGCATTCCAACCCCTGGAACAAGCGAGAATACTTTTTTTTTTTTTTGATTTAAGTAAGCCCAGGTAGCCTTTTTCATACATGCTGTCCTATTAGTGAAAATAAATATTTACCTAATCTTCCTGGGGCTCCTTACTGTCTTTGATGTCTTCTCTCAAATATTCCTTCACAGAGGAAGACTTCTCCACTCTCTCTACAATAGAGTCTCTTGTTTCTGTATCTGCCAGCTACTTACCGCCTCCCTCCCTCTCTCTCTCTCCCTCCCTCCCTTCCTCCCTCAATCTATCCCTCCCTCCCTCCCTCCCTCCCTCTATCCCTCCCTCCCTCCCTCCCTCCCTCCCTCCCTTCCTTCCTTCCTTCCTTATTGCTTTATTATCTTCTCTCCTCCCTTCTGCTACAAGGTCTTGTTCCATCAATATCTGGCTACCTTCAAACTTGCAATCTTTCTGCCTCTGTGTCCCAAGTGATAGGATTACTGAGATTCACCAAGACTGCCTGTGCACCTTGTTTTAGGATAGTACTTGTAACAAGTGGTAGTAGTTTGCTAGTATTTATAACAAGTGCTGTGGCTTGCTTTGGGGAAGGGCTCCTATTTCTTTACAAGGAGTAAATATGACATGTTTTTCATTGTATTCCTAACATCTAGCATGACGCTTACTACCAATAAGGGAGAACTCAGTATTTAGAAAATAATTGGATCCTTTCAATATTATTGTCAAGATATGGATTGAGAATATAGGACAAGAATTCCTGTAAACCCCTGACTTGAGGGGAGGCTTCCTAGGATGGACTTGTACATGTCTTAGGAAAAGTAAAACTGAAGAGGGCTTTATGATGGGTTGGGTCATCCAAGGAGGCAGAGGAAATGGAATCTAGGACACTTTTGCAGGTGTTAGCCTTTTCAGGATGAACAGACAGCTCTTTTGTGGGAGATAATGTTGGCACTGTGTGAATGGGGATGGGAATTGGGAAGGCTTTGACAGTGCGTTTTATCATCCTGAAGAAGTTGGAAACTGCTGAGGAGAGCCAGAGGCCTAGGGGAGGGGAAAATGCTTGGGACAGTGAGGGTGTGGGAGGTCATCAGGTGCAAGTCAGCAAGAAGGTTGTGGGTAGAAGAGCTCATCCAGGGCTTCAGAGAGGGAGTACGTAGTGACACCTAGTAGCCAATGGAGTCAACTGTCAGCTATATCAGTATGGAACTCTCAAATGTAATTCTTGATAATAGCAAAACCAAAATTTTGCTTTAATTTTATTGTAAATTAAGTAACCATTGTTTTTCTGCCAAATACTTCAATCTTTTTGCAGCAATTTATTAATAATAACCCATTAAAAGAAAGTCATAGGAAAAATGTGACATTTCATGGTTTCTTTATGTTTCTATAATATATTTCAATTTTTTCTGCTAATGTCCAGGTTCTCAGAGAGTAGAATTTAATGTACTGCTTCTAAATCTGCAGAATGGGACACAGCAAAGTGATTGCATTGTGTTTTATTCCGGTTACTTCTTTCTCTTCCAGGAGTGGTGATGACAAGGAGATAGAATGTTGTAGATTCCGAGAAACTGGCCCAAGTGACCCTGAATTTTTGTGAAGTATTGGCCCCCCTGTCTGTACTGTGATTCAGGCTTTTAAACTGATCACATCCAGAAAACCTGGGGGAACCTGCTCTCAACAACTTCTTCCTCTCTGAATTCAAAGACACTCAGGAATTTTCTTGGTTGGAAGCTTAGGGACCTGTTGCTTCCCAGGCATTGGCAGGCCCAAGATGGATCTTGCAATAGGGTAATGTTTATTCCCTTTGTATCAGGGAAGGCCTTGGGGAGAATTTCTTTAGTTTCTTTGTCAATACTGTGTTCCTTTCACTTCTGTGGATGTAAAGGAAATGATGGTTTTCACATTGTGAACGGGAAGGTAGTGCCATACAAAATAATTAAGTCTTATAAAAGTAGAAGGGAGGAATTCCAGGGAAGAAGAAAGGGTAGATGGGTGGCAGAGGGAATAAGTGGTGTGCAAATATGATCAAATAACATTATATGCATGTATGAAAATATCCCAATGGAATATACCTTTT